GCAGCAGCAGCTGCTGCTGCTGCTGCTGTCCCTCCCGCTGCAGCAGCAGCAGCAGGCGGAGCGACAGCAGCAGCAGCAGCAGCAGCAGCGATCTGCACTTCTGCATGGTTGCTGCTGCGTCTGGCTGCCATTATACCTATCTGTGGGATTTTGAAAATTAAAAAGCAATTACTATAATTTAATTATAATTTAATCATAATTTAATTATAATACTTTAACATTTTAATTTAATAATATGCAAATTTTAATTTTAATTTATTTATATTTCTTCCGTTTTCCGGGGTCGCTGCAGCTGCGTGCTGCTGCGGTGTCTGTACACCCGACTTTGCTGCTGCGCGGCTGCGAACTCTGTGGGGCCCGTTTCATTATTTATTTCTTTTTAATATTTTCATTATTTATTTCTTTTTAATATTTGCATGCGTTTTGCTTTTGAGAAAAATACAATTAAATGCCAGTTTCCCGGTTCTTTGCTGCTCCTTTGCATGCAACTTGCTTCCGAAGTGCACCACAGCAGCAGCAGCAACAGCAGCGCAGCAGCAGTATTTATTTTGTTTTATGAAATTAATTCATTTTGTGCACGGAGGCAGAGGGGCTGCTGCCCTTGCTGCTGCTGCTGCTGCTGTTGCCGCTGCTTCTGCTGCTGGTGCTTCTGCTGCTGCTGCTTCTGCTACTGATTCTGTTGCTGCTGCTGTTGCTGCTGCTGCTGCAGGTCTTATCCACAGGGCTGCGCGTGGCTTCTTTGCTGCCTCCTGTGTCTCTGGCCCCTTTAGCTGCTGCCAAGTTTTGCTGCTTAATGGAGACAGTGCCAGTGCCAGGTGCGGCTGCAGTGGGGCTGGGGGGGCTGCCGCTGCAGCAGCTGCTGCTGCAGCAGCTGCTGCGTCGCCAGCAGCAGCAGCAGCAGCAGCAGCAGCAGCAGCTGCAGCAACTGCAGCAGCAGCTCCTCTTCGATTATAATCCTCATGATAAAGATCGAGAACCACCTCCATTTCTTTATGACACAAAACACAGAAAGTGGGGCCCCCAGGAAGCCCCAAAAGTTGCTGCATTCATTCAGAAGGTGCAGCAGGCCCTCAGCAGCAAACAGGTACGCTGCTGCTGCTGCTGCTGCTAATGCTGGCGCTCACGATCTTGTTGCTGCCCGTGCTGCTGCTGAGTTACTAGCTGCCAGCTTACCTCCTGCTGCTGGTTTGCCTGCAGCTGCTGCTGCTGCTGCTGTTTTGCCTTTTGCTGCTATTGCTGCTACTGCTGCTGCTGCCGCAGGTTCACCTGCTGCTGCTGCTGGCTTTTTTGTTGTTGCTGTCTCTGCCCGGACCGTTGACTTAGAAGCTGCAGCTGCAGCAATCTGCTTCTGCTGCTGCAGATTGTGACAAAGCCGTTCCTGCCCTATGCCTGCTGCTGCTGCTGCTGCTGCTGCTGCTCCATAGGTACGGTGTGCTGCCTCTCTGCCCTTTTTCCCCTTTACGGTGGACTTGGCGGTGGCAGCCCCAGAGGGCCCCCTGGGTCCCCCAGAGGGGGCCCCCCAGGGGCCCCCGGCGGCCCCCGGGGGGGCCCCCAGGGGCCCCCAAGGGGCCCCCCTCGTAGGGGGCCCCCTATGCCTCCCGAAGCCCGGGGCGCCCCTAGGTGCTGCTGCCCATGACTGGGTGGTACCTGATTTGGGGTATGAGGAAGAGACTGAAGAAGAAAGGAAAGAGAGGCAGCAGCAGCAGCAGCAAGTGCTGCTCAGCCCGGGGGCCCTCCAGCAGCTGCAGGAGCAGCAGCAGCAGCAGCTGAAGCAGAAGCAGCAGCAGCAGCTGCAGCAGCAGCAGCTGCAGCAGCAGCAGCTGCAGCAGCAGCAGCGGCCGCTGACGCAGGTGCCCGGCAGAAGGGGTACAGCTCTCTTTGTTATCAGCAGCATCGAAGACATAATCCTTAACAACCTGGAAGAGGCCCCGCAGGGGGGCTCCTCTGGGGGCCCCCTGGGGGGCCCCCCCATGGGTGGGGTGCCCCCGCCCCCTGCAGTACCCTTTTTTGGGTTTCCCGTTTATTTCCTTGAGGGGCCCCAGTGGCTGCTGCGTCTGCCTGCCTATGAAAGATGGCGGTGAGCTCTTTAACCCCAAACCCTAAACGCTAAACCCTAAACCCTAAACCCTACGCAGTGTATAGGGGCCACGGATCCAAGAGACTAGCAAAAAGAGAGGCCGCCGTCGACAGGAGTCAGGGGCCCCCAGGGGCCCCTGCAGGGGCCCCCAAGGCCCCCAGTAGACTGGGGGCCCCCCTAAGCTTTTAAGGGCCCCCCCAGCAGCCTCTGCTGCTGCTGCTGCTGCTGCTGCTGCTGTGCTGCAGGCACTGGATCTTATCCCATTTTGGCTGGAGGGTAGGGTACCTGCCAATGTCTTTGGGGGCCCCCAACTCAGGGGGGCCCCCAACTAAGGGGGCCCCTCACCTCCGGGGGCCCCCGGACTCAGGGGGCCCCCATATCGAGGGGGCCCCCCTCCGTGCTGCTGTCTGTGCTGCAGGGGGCCCCCAGCAGCCCTAGCTGAAATACCCACCCTAACGCAGTGTGTGGGGCCCCCTATGGGG